GGGGGGGGGGGGTTCTGGGCGTGAGGTCCACAGTTGAACCCGGTGGGGTCGGCGAAACCCCCAAAGCAAGAGGATCTTTGTGCTTTATGGGTATAAATAATAAAAGCATATGTTTGAAAATGTCTGTGCCTCCATGGGTGGGTCTGCAGAGTGCATTAGTTGGGTTGGAGGACTTATTTGGGAAATTTAAAGAGGGGGTTTCGCCAGAAAAGAGGGGGTTTACTACAAAAGGGGTCCGGGTTCTCCCGAACCATAACTCCCCCCCCCCCCGGCCTGGAGGGGATTGGTGATTAAGCGAGGAGATCTTTCCATGGTGATATTTAATACTTGAGAGTATGTTATTTTGCCTCAAACATATCCAGCGAGGAAAGGGGCAGATACCTCTTAAATATCCTCCGTCAGATAAATCAGGACGGGTTCGTTGTAGAGTAGGGTGGGTGGAGGGAGGGGGTAATTTTTGTTTAAAGTGGGTGTTTATTCGAGTGAGGAGCTTTTTTTTGTGTAAAAAGGATACATATAAGGATAAATAAATATAAGGATATAATAATAGGCCTATATTGTCGCACTAGATTTCTCAACTCATCCTTCTGCAATAAGATACTTCAACTCAAATGCATAGATTATGGTTTCAATCGTCTGTCTTAGCTGTGCATATACTGTATCATATCTTTTTTCTTATATTTATATTTGTTACTTTTCTTGTTATATTTTCGATGTTTATGTATATTTTTGTATCTGTGAATGGTTACTACACCAAACAGATCCGTATTTTGGACAATAAAATAATCTTGAATCTTGAAAATAAACGGCCCTCAATTTTGCTATAAATTTAACAACACAATACTGTAAGTGGAGTAAAACATAATAGAATGTGTTGAGAACAATGCCGTACTAGCCAGCTATTGGGACAGTTAGGTCAGCCTCACATAATTTTTCTATTGTGTCTACAAAGAATGGGTCCACATTGTAGAATTAGGACCATATTTCTCATATTTTGTGTAAAATGAGACAACTTTTTAAAAATGGGTCCAGATTTCTCATATTTTTTGTAAAATGGGTGAATTTTTCAAGAAAATGGGCCCAGATAATTCATATTTTGCGTAAAATGAAACAACTTTTAAGAAAATGGTTTTACGTTACTTGAATTTACGCGTAAAGTGGGTCCACCCTGATATTGTTCCAAACTGTTTAAAAATCCTGGCTACGGCATTGGTTGAGAATGATGGTGCTTCCATTAGTTTTGTTTAGTCAGTGGCTTGAATGAATATGATATGCAGTTTGTTTGGAGAAAAAAAGAAAATCATGGACTCCAGTAGGCCTACTAAATAGTTGAGTTATCCCTACTAATGTATCGTTGGAAGATTTACTATTCCATTTAATTTCGGCTCCGGCTCTGTTAACAATGTAGCCTATTTTCACGAAATAATGGGTTTCACTAAAATATATTAAACCAACACTCAGTAGTGAGCATGTGTCCGTCCACCGCAAATCCTTTTCTTCAAAAATAAATATCCCAAAATGTGTTTCTATTTTACTTACCACCACTAATACCACCCCATTTCACCTCACTTCCCTCCACATTTTTAATTTTGAATATTTGCGTGCATAGGCATATGCACATGCATTTTCTTAACTTTGCCAATATAAAAAGTATTATCAAACAATCATTCAATCAATCGTTTCAGGGTGGGTCCAGGAGACACGGGTCAATCCCAACCCCCTAAAAAATAAAGAAGCCTACGATTTCTGGATCACCTTTTCTTCAGGTCATCTAATCTTGAAAATATCAATATATAGACGTTTGAGTAACAAAATTCATTGATTGTTTTTAATAAAGTGTCACTTTGATACCAAAAATTATGTTGCTCTGAAACTTAAGGACAATCTGAATAAAATGACCATCGTCCTTTAAGGTCCAATTGATGATGTTGCAGGCGTTATCATCCGAATTATTAGTAGGCCTATAATGTATGCATTATTTTAATCGATTTCAACATGCTGTGTATAATATTCAATAATATGACTACTATGATGGATAACCATGTATTTTATTCTTTATTTATTGACATGTTTAAAATCGGAGGCGGATTTTAAGGTGGGTAGTTATGCAGCCCGTCCGGGGCTCATACATCTTGGAAAAAATTAAAAGAAAATATTTTGTCAAAAGCGTTGTATTATTAGATTGCTCGGTGGTAGTAAGTAGGGGCCCGTCGCCTTTCCGGGACTCATTTGGACATGGAGGAAGTAAGCGTTTCCCCAGAAAGCACACGGGCATTACATAACTGGTCAAACCTCCATAGTGGGGCATCCTGGGACATAGTTGGAAGAACCCCTTCTAATAAATCTTCAAATATTGTGTTTGTGGGATTTTGGTCTTTTGGTGTTTTTTTCCGGAAATTATAGAAAAGGTTACGTATTGTTCCGTTGTAGGAGAGTGCTGAGTATCAGTGTTACTGTAAGTATAAATAGTGGCTTCTCCAGGGCCCATTTGGACTCGGACTTCGCCCAGAAAGCACATGCGTTACTTAAGGCTTGGTAGTAATGTGCTAGGTAGTAGTAGGAGCGCACCCCCACCACGAGACCTCACGAGTTACAAAAATTTGAATATGATATGCCATAATTGGATTTATCGGACAATATAAGAAACATTACACCGTTTCTGATATATGTATACTGCAATACATTATTCAGCATCCGAAGAGCTTTCCAACGATAACAAACACGACTACTTTTGATGAGTTTATATACTTATTCTAATTTTATGCACATTTTAAGTATATTTTGCGGTTATTTTAAAACAAATAAACACCTATTTTTGAATTATGTTCCATTCTGGCATGAGTGACAGTAGATTTTATATGTCTGGTTTGTTGCCTGTATAGAAATTAATTATTTTAGACACCAACATCATATCGGTAGCTTATTTAGTTCCAATTATATGCACATTTTAGATAAATTTGGCGGGCATTTTGAAAAATGGCCGCCATTTGCATACAAAGTGAAAAATCAAGTGACAACAGGGCTTAAGGAGACCAGGACGGGTTAATTAGGATATCTGGCTACCTATGTTGATTGCTTCTAACATTCCACTCCCCCTAACTTGATTTTTAGGCCTCTTTTTTTTTTCTAGTCTAATATGATAATAATAAAGTTCTTAACCGTTCTGAATCGAAAGTGGTTGTCATTGACTATCAGAATAGTTGACAAACTTCAACTGTGCAAAACAAAAGAAGGACAATAGAAGAAAAAAAATAATAATGCAAAAAAGAAGGAAAGACCTATCAAATAATATTTTGTTATGTCTTAGCTGAACGGAATTGACATTCTCCTCATGCCTAATTAAATATAATTTTGACAGATTGGTGGCGGAAAATTAAGCCATTAGGAAGCACTTCAGAAGTGACAGAGCAGCCTGATTTTCAGCGAAGATATTATGCCACTTCAATATCTCTGGTGGTGTTAGTATACCTTTTTTTATTCAGTCAATTGTCTGGTGCTATTTTTTATATTTTTATTTTTTATTTTATTCATATATACTGTATCTAGGAAAACAAATTTCATTTTACATTTTTAATCGATTTTGACAATAAATATGAATATGATTCTGATCTTATGTTTTCTTTAAAGTGCAACTTTTGCCTATGCCCTATACTGCTGGAGTTGCGATGGATATTATATACATGAGTGAACTCACCCTTTGATTTAGCTGAGTAAACGACTCGGGTGTTTTGACTACGCGGTGAGAGATCAAAGTGTGATATCCTTCGCAATTAAATCAATTTTGAGGATTAGTAGGGCCCCCTCTTGTGGGTCGTTTTTATACCCAATAAAAATACTGGAGCTGTATATAGTTTAAAAAAATAAGCAATACAAGATTTGCTTTATTTCAACTGTTGTACCCCACGGCGAAAGAGATGATCAAGAATCGAGTGAAGACCATCTTTGTTATTTCCTTGCTCGTGGCATTTGTTAATACTAAAAATTCTATCGATGAAACTCACGAAGTCCTTCTTAATGAAGAGTTTGATTTTATGTTTAAGTGGCGGGTTGACAGAGAAGACATCCTCATCGAAATGAGTGCTAACTCACTAGGGTATGTTGCCGTTGGGTTTTCTCCAAATGGTGGTATGCCTGGTTCTGATATTGTCGTCGGATGGGTTAAAGATGACGAGGCATTTTTGTCTGTAAGTTAACTGAAATAATATTAAAATTATATTGTTAAATGCTGCCTGTAATATGCTTGTTTAATTATTAATAAAATTATAAAATACCAAAAATATAGGCTTAACACAAATATACGGTAATTATAAATATTTTTAA